CTCTTGCTCCTTCTTTATTTCACTCTCTCTTTCTCTCTCTCTCTCTTACTCTTTCTTTATTTCACTCTCTCTTTCTCTCTCTCTTATTCTTTCTTTATTTCACTTTCTCTTACTCTTTCTTTATTTCACTCTCTCTCTGTCTCTCTCTTACTCTTTCTTTATTTCACTCTCTCTCTGTCTCTTTCTTACTCTTTCCTTATTTCACTCTCTCTCTCTCTCTCTCTTATTCTTTCTTTATTTCACTCTCTCTTACTCTTTCTTTATTTCACTCTCTCTCTCTCTCTCTCTCGCTCTCTTTCTGTTTCTGCCTTTCTCTCCCTATATATCGCCCACTCTGTCTGTTGTCTATCGTTCTTTCTCTTTGTTTCTCTCTATCTCTCATTCTCTCTGTTGTCTATCGTTCTTTCTCTCTCTCTCTCAACTTCTCTCTGAAATATATATGTGCGTCTGTCTGCGTATATAAACGACATGTAATCGCAATCATGATATGATAGGGACTGTTGTAAATATTCCAAAGCGAAGTGATATGCCATAAATTAATGTCGAGATTAAAGTTAATCAACGTTTGTCAAGGATTTGCTTATCGTCTGTCCCTCACAGTTGAGACTCAGATTGTCTGTTGATCATAGAATTGAAATGTGAATTACATCAACTCTTAGACAACCTCAAATCAAGTCCAGAAAAACAAATTCAGCATACAAATTGAAAGTAAAGTTGATTAAAGAAAAGATTCCATCGAACAGTTAACTGCAGCTATTTGGGGGCGTGGCGCCTATACCTCCTCCGCCTCTATGCTCATCAGTGAATATTTCGTGCGTTAATCGGATAATACGTATATTTAATATTATTACCGTTGCCGGTGCTTGTCCATTTGACCTGAGGGCTTCTCATTCTCTTGACTGATTGCCGCCGCCGCCCCCTTTGACGCTGTGATTGATGTGAATTCGTTTATGATGCGACGCTCTTAGCCGTATGTGTGCGCGCTCTCTCTCTCTCTCTCTCTCTATCTCTCTCCCTCTCAGTGGGTCTCCACGCTGGTTCGATTAAAACAATCAATTTAATTGTTATCACAAGTATAGAGCAGAGAATACACAGCACAGAACAGAACAAATAAGAAGAATATCTACGTGTAGTAAATAAAGCTGGCATGCGGCGTTGCCTTCCTTTTGTTTATTTACCCATTGAATAACGAGTCGATTGACATAAAAGACATCAAGCGAGCGAGTTTCTATCAAGCGAATAAAGGCAAGTCAATGGGAATGAATGCATGTGTAAATTTTTAATAATTTTTAAATATTTATTTATTATTTATATAGAGATATATAATGCCTATATATATGAATATATATTATCAAATATGTATTCACTTTTTATTCATCCATTTGACAAATTGCAATATTTTACAATTGTAATTCATCAGCCCTGGTGTAATCACTAATCGATTGTTATCGATTTAAATTATCGTCAATAACCATTTTCAGTTCGAACTGCATATCAATCGACAAATAGTAGTTCGTATAGATAAGATAAATAGATCCATGTACATAGAGCTATATATGAATATCTGTATATAGTTATGTATGTGTGTAAGCCATATGTAAGTCAATCGTTTGACACACTTCAGCTGTTTTGAGCTCTATAACCGGTTGCCAGTAACACGGGAGGAGTATTGTGTATAAAGTTTGACGCAATTTTACAGTGACAATGGGACAATTATAGCCCAGCGTAACTGAGCGAGTTTTTAGTTGTCGTTCGCTGGTAATTACACGTGTTTTAATTCACAAGCTGTCATTGTTGTTGCTGTTGGCATTGTTGCTATTGTTGTTAAATTGTATCGCAATTTGATAAAGCACAAAGTAATCAACACGACAGCAATAAATGGAGGGGCGTTGATCGGTCACAAAAAAAAAAAAAAAAAAAAATGATTATAAATACATGTTTTTTAGCATTTCTCATTGTAGCAACACGAACTTTGAGTCATTCACAAATTATTTGTGACAATTTCAGATATACTGCGAGTCATAAACCATCCAAAGTATCATAAATATACCTATGACAGGGTAGACGTAATTTGGGTTAACTTGAATCTGAACTAAGTCTTATGTTAACTAACAAATTGTCGCGATATCCTCAAGGACACGAAATGCAATCCAATCTTAATTTACCATATTCTATTGACATCTATATCGAACTATGGTCACATATATGATATGATATGCTATTCTACAGTTAAGTGGAAGTCTGAGTCACAGCTTGAGTTTGCTATAGAGCATCGAAAACTTTGGATTATTTTGAGAAAATCGATTGAAATCAATAACAAACTTTCGTTCTTTTTGACTTGTATTCACATGGACTTATGCATATAGATATGTTTTGTAACTCTAGTCTATTTCCATGAAACTTATTAAAACCTATAGCTGTATCTAGTTCTTGACATGCATTTAGATGTCGATATAAAAGCTCCTATGTAAATAATCGATAACCCAAATGGACTGTATATCGTAGGTATGCCATATCATCGTATAATATCCAGGAAATCGCTTATAATCTATAGCAAGTCTTACTTTTTGGACATGTATAGGTCTATTTATTTTAGTATATCTAGTCTAATCTAGTTTTAGTCGAATACCCTTCCTTTTCAATGCATTTCTTCTTCAAAGGTTTCAGGGCATCTCCCAGTCGCCTGCTCAACATTCGCTTGTCAGTTTCTGGATAACTTTTCAATTATTGCAAAGTTCAAGTCACAAATACATACGCTATGTTAATTGCAATTACTGTGTCTCTTTCACCTGTGCAGGTGGAAAGGTGCGACTAGGCGTGTTACACTTTTCAACTTCGAGCGCCGTTTGAACGGTCAATGACTCGCACACACAGTTATGATTTATTTGAGGGTTAGCTAAGCGCGAATACATTAGAGAGACAGCGTGACACGCCCACCGGGAGGCTGGCTAAAATGTGTGTAAATAACATTTATGTGGAGACAAAAGTTGTCATTTGTCGCTTTCTCTGTGAACAGCATGTCCCTTGCATAACCACACAAAGTCGTCTATTGATGGGTGTTTACTGTATTTGAGACGTTCATCAAATGATCTGCATAACTGTTCATCTAGATTGTGGCCAGCGCATTATGCAGTCGGTTACGCCCGACTGCGCTGTTCTGACTCGAATTTCTTTTGTTTTTATTTTGTTGTTTATTTATTTTTATGATGACCATTGTAATTAAAGCCTTAAAGCTTTTGGGGCTTTTTATTGTAAAAAGCACTTAACTAACTGTACATTGAGGGCCATAGAGTTACATAGTATTATGTGTCCGAGTTTCGACGACCAGGCCGGGCCTGAACTTGTGTGATAATAAAGAGAAGAGGCAACAACAACAAAACAATACAACTACCGGGAGATGCTCAACTGCTTAAGACCAAAATTAAAGCAAAACTGCGGGTTAATACCCTTTGCTCTGCCAGTTAGCCAGTTAAAACTTCGGACTTTTGCTTAACTGTAAAGAAATCTTAAATGGGAAATATTACAACGTTTGCCCACACACAATTAAAAGCGAAAAATGTGTACAAAGAACATAATAAAGTGTCTGAAGCTCTCTTTGACCTGATGTAGTGTCACACACATCTGTGTGCTCCAACAAAAATTTGTGTGAAAAACTTCTTTTGGCTAATGATGTCATCTCCTAAAAACGTCTTTCTATGCACTTCTCATGGGTGCGAGCCCAGAAAGAATTTACTACTTATATTTGTAAATTCTGTATATAATATGCAAAATAGAATATACATACTAATAAATGAGAAATAAAATTGGCCTATTTTAGCTAAGATCTCAACTAAGATTTGTCAAAGAATGTTCAGCGCATAAATGAATTTTATTAGATGATTAATAATTAATAATGTAAACGTCTTTCCATGCAATTCTCATGGCTTCAATTAAAATTTATCAAAGAATGTTAACAAATATGTTCTGATTTTATATATCTATATGTCTGATGGATCGATTGTATATCACGGTTATGAATTACATATATTACCTGATTAATAATTTATAATGTAGACGAACAATTTATTGATTTAGTATATCTGTATATTTGAGGGATCGTTTATAACTTTAATGAATAACAATAATGAATTAACAATTATTCATTATCAATTACTTTTATATTTATAAATAATTAATTAATTATATTATGTAACTGATAATGTCAGCGCCTTTCTATGCAATTCTCATGGGTTCCACTCAGATTTGTGCAAGATCGTCAAGAAACCATTTGCTGATCTTACATACATCTGATAAATCGTATATCCTATTAATGAATTATGAACCTTGTGAATTGATTATTAATATGCAAATTTTGTTCTTAATCTTTTAGGTCGCAGCCATAATCGAATCGATGCAATAGGAAAGTTACAACTCAATTGCCATGCGCTTGTCAGGCATTACAATGGGCGTCCTGACGCCTCAGAGCCACAGACAACAGCAAGTTGTCCACTCTCTGGCTCGCTGCTGAGCTGAACGTATTTAGCAGCAAATGAAGGTGCAGCACGTAGCTAGTGAAGCCGCCAACCAGTAGCAGGTTGGCCAACAAGCGACACAAGCCGCCAGCAGCAGCAGCAACAACACCTTCAGCTCTCTAGCAACTCCTCCTGATAAAGAGCAGCCCCAGCCGGCAGCAGCGAGAGAGGCGCAAAAAATAAAAAATAAAAAAAATAATAACAACTTTGCAGCTTTAACCGAAAATGTTACAAAACTCGAATGCAACAGCCGCAGCAGCAGCAGCGGCAGCAGCGACGCCCAGCACAGCAGCCGCTGCGGCAGCGGCAGCGGCAGCGAACAATGCAGCGATAGCCGCGTCATCGATACAGCCAAAGCTGGTTGTCATACGAAGGCGTCAGAATCAGGGCTTCGGTTTTACGCTGCGTCACTTTATTGCCTATCCACCGGAAGATGATGCCGCCAGCTGGCCACAGGTAAGCGTCGCAAGGCAATCCAGCTGGGCTGTGATGGGTAGGGGTGGGGATAGCAGGGGGCAGGGCAGTGGCAGTGGCAGTGGGCTGGGCATGGGCATGGTCAACTCAGTCAGTTGAGAGCGAGAGCCTGGTGTGCCAGAGTCTGCCTGCATCCATCTTCAATTAGTCATCAATTGTGCCTTGCGACTTTTGCTTTTCGCGGTCTGGCAATGCTCACTTCACTTCGGCTCTGCTCTGCTCTGCGCCGCGTCGCAGCTGCGCCAGTCACATTTGCGCAGTCGCCGCCGTTACGTGAGCGCAAAGCACGCGCCGCCTATTCAAATGGCAATCGCTGCTTTCTTTTTGCTCTTTGCCAAAACTGTCTGAAGTATGCCACATGCGTCAAAGAGCTTGCAACGGCAACGGCAGCGCCAACAGGCAGCAAATTTTTAGAGATATTTGCAATGCATAAAAAGAATTTATAATATTTATAAAATGAATTCAATTTAATTAAATATCATATGCATTAAATGCTGATAAAAGAAAATCCAATTTCCGATTGCTTGATTAGAATTTTGTAGGTAGATTAGAAACTATATATCTGGTATATTAAATATCTTTTTATCAATTTATATTAGTTTGAAAATATAGTAAAAATAAAAATATATAAAAACATATAAATATATATATATTTTTTTTTTTTACTTATTTATAGAAATATAATCAGTATAGTGTTTTTTTTTTTATATAGTTTTGCTTTGATTGCATATTATTCCTAAGCTTCACATAAATTAGAAAATGCATATAAAAATGTACAAAAATATATAATTTAAACAAATTACAAAAATATTAACCAACTATTTCAAAGAATTTTATATTTTAGTTCATTTTAATTTTTACTTGTTTAATGTAATGCAAAGCTTTTTCCAGTTTTTAAAACATTTAATCTAATATATTTACTTACTTTAATGAAATCCTTTTCGATAGCATAGAGTATCTCCGAAATGATCAGCTTCCAGTTGCCATTTGCTCACAGCCTCTCTTGTGCTCCCACTCCTTATATATATAGTTTATATGATATTTTTTGCATTGTATACGAAGCGCGCTCATTGCGCTCTCTTTTCTCTTTGCTCTGCTCTTTTGGGGCTTGCTGATGGCTCTCTGAGCCGCTCTCCTATTTGCCATTAACTATACCCTGTAAACAGTAAAAGTGCATCAAATGGGGTATATTGTTTTTGCCTAAATAAAGTTGATTAAAAATATAATGGAAACTTGATTCTTAATGTAAATTTATATTTATAAACATTAAAATATTACAATTTTACATTGGACATTTAATTAAAAATATATTGTATTTTATTCAACAATATTTAATTAATACCTTAGCTATTATAAAATATAATTCAATATGGCAAATAAATATCATAATGAAAATATATCAAAAGGAATACTTATAGAGCTCCTATACTTAAATATATAACTGAAATACAATATTATATAGCGCTTATAAAGCGTATCTGCTAGCCGTTCTTAGTGGACTGGAGTAACCTTACTTGTTTTGCTTTTTTATATACATATATATATTTATATTATTTTGTTGTTGTTGTTGTTTCACGTTTTTGTATGCTATTTTGTTTTTGCTTTTTACGTTTTGTGTAGGAAGCGACAAACGCAGTCGGCGGCGGCGGCAACGTTGGCGGCAGCAGCGGCGGTGTCGTCGGCTTGGAGCCAACGTCACCAACGTCGCTGCCGCCATACCAAGTGAAAGCGATGGAGACCATTTTCATCAAAGAGGTGCACGCGAACGGACCGGCTCACCACGCCAATCTACAAACGGGCGACCGGGTGCTAATGGTGAACAACACGCCGATCGCTGGCATTGCCTACAGCACAATTGTGTCGATGATCAAGCAGACGCCATCGGTGCTAACGCTGCACGTAGTGCCCAAGGAGTGTGATGTGCTGCAAATGGTGAGTGCGCCAAAAAAAAAAAAAAAAAAAAAAAAAAAAGGAAATAAAAAAGAAGCAAAGCAAAAGAAATGTGTAAGGTTTAGTAAATGAAATCATATTGTGGTCGAAAGAAATATCGCATCGTAACTAGTGTCGCCCTCTAATTCGTTATCCGTTCCGTTTGCATGTCGTCTCTGCAGCACTACACGAGCATTGCCCACACGCCGGAATCGAATCGCCTAACGATGTCCGCACAGGCGCCACAGCCATCGATGGGCGCTGGCCACACGACACATTCGCCGGTGCTGCTGGCAAATGCCGGCGGTGCCGCCGGCATCAAGTCAACATTTCCACAGCAACAGTTGATCTCATATCCCGCTGTTGCCGCCAATACATCCTCGACAGCATCCTCTGTTTCGCCAGCGACACCGCTGCACGGCGGCAGTCGCTCCGGCAGCATCACCAGCAATGCCAGCGGCAGTGGACTGCCCACCAACAATAGTAGCCATCATCATCAGCATCAGCATCAGCATCATCATCACCAACAGCAGCAGCAGCAGCATCCGCAACGTCATCCGGCGCTTGCAGGCGGCAGCAGCAGCATCGACTTTGGTGACATGGCCCATGGCATGCGTCAGCATCAGCAGCAGCAGCAGCAGCTATACCACCATCAACAGCAACATCATCATCAGCAGCTGCTGTCGAGCAGCTTTATGCGGTAAGTGTAAACTATTTCAACTCACCTGGGCCATTGACGTCAGCGTGTTCCCAAAGCCAAAAACCGGGCATTTCAAGTGTGTGTGTGTGTGTGTGTGGAGGGGGGAGGGGGGCAATCCCCCTCGGTACAGCATGTGAGTGCGAGGAGCTGGGGGATTCGAGCTTGGGGTGGGATACCGAGCAATGGCAGAAACGGCTGTTAATCTTATCAGACGCCAGTCGGCAGGTTGTGGCGACGCTCTGCCCACTGGCGTTTCTCTTTCGCCAAAGCAGCAAAAATGACAGTGTTTAGTGCAATTAGACAGGCCAGCGGTCGTTGCCAACTGGCACAGTGGTACGCAAATGCCGGCTCTCTCTGTCCTCAGAATACTTCTGAAATCAAACATGTGAAACTTACACACACACACACACACACAAACATGTGATATACAACAAACCGCATTTCGTAGCATGCAAAAAACTTAGATTCTTAGCGTATCGCAGCGCCAGGATGAAGAGGCCGTAGCTCTTGATGCAGCTCCAGCTTAAGCGATCGTTGTATACGGCCATCATACAACTGCGCAGCTTAAGCCAAGTCTTGGGCACATTACTTGGTAGCAGCATATTCACGATTATTCTATCTTTGTGTCGTACAAATAAGTTAGTGGTATCTCGGATTTTACATGCTTTCCGTGGGATAACGACGAAAATTTTGATAATGAGAATTTCACAAAATTTGTCAAAGTCACCGTGTGAGGAAATCAGCAGAAAATGAAATGAATTTTCTCTCCCACTAAAATCAAAAGAGTCGATAATGACGTAAAATGCCTATATAGGCGATGTAGAGAGATTTGCCTTGGCACTGAGTTTTTCACGAAAATCTAAAATAATAAAAAATCGTTTGAGGAAATTTGCAGAAATTTAATAAAATATCTATTTCGCTGAAATCTGTAAATAATGACGTAATATTCCGATAAAGATCTACGATATATATTTATAAAGAGAGAGAAGAAAAGAAAACACTATTTTAAAATATATATAATAAATAATAATAATAATAATAAATAAAATAAATAAATATATAAAATTTACACAATATGAAAAATAAATAAAATTAAAAAAATAATAATAAAAGCAAAAATAGTAAAAAAAAAAAAAAAAAAAAAAAATAAATAAATAAAAAAAAAACTAAACAAATAAATATGTATATGAAAAATATAATTAAAAAATTAACTAAATATATGAATAAAAAATAAATAAATATCAAATTAAATAAATGAAGATCAAAATACAAAAAAAAATATATATATAAACAATTTTATTTTATTAATTGAAAAAAAAAAAAAAAAATAGGTATATATACAAATAATAATATGAAATAGTTTATAAAATATCGTAAATTGAAATGGATATAAATCGCCTTAAATGGAAATATAAATAAATAAATCAAATATATGCATATATTACAGAGCTCTAGCATGTGGGTTTTATGTTGGCAAAATAAATAAACAAATTTCAGCAAATTGCAACTTTATCTCTATCTAAATAGTTATTTAAGTGTTTTGTTTTTGTTTTTTTTCTATCATAATTTGCATACTTACGTACCACTGCCGCGCCTGCCAATGCTAATAGACGTACATACGTCGGATGTTTCATAAATATTAATTCGCACTTGCACACTCGCTCACACAAACACACACGCACACTCTCGCGTGCACATAGACGCACACACATGTACATACATCTATAAGCAAACTCATTCAGCAAAACAAATTGACAGTTTACTGGCCAACAGCCTTTGGCGCCGTCGCGGTTCCAATGAACTTGATCACACTGTGTGGCATTTGATTTATGGTGACATCAACAGACTACCTACCTTTACCTCCAATACACACAGGTGACGCTGTGCGTGTGTGTGTGCGTGTGTGTGTGAGTGCATATTGTATACATTATTTCACTTTCATTAAAAATAAAACGAAATTTTCAGTGTCAGACAAATAGTTGACAATTCAATAATGCGATACTCGAAATTTGCCATATACAAATTATAATAGCAATTGCTCTAAATGTAACTTGAGCTAAGCTCAGCAATAATAATTAAAAACAATTGCAAACTGTTGGCGATGTTTGCCAAATTTACACTCATCGTCCCATTTCCCCTGGGCAAGTTGCTCGCATTTTGTTGTTGACTTTTTGCAGTCATTAATTTACAAACATTTGCACATGTTATAACGATATGTGTACAAGCATCTATGATAATTATGGTGATGGTGATGATGATGATGGTGATGATGATGATGATGATGCGTCGATACTTTGACCGACGCACACAGACAGACAGACAGACGGACTGACTATAAAAATTGTAGAACACCACACAGCAGATAAATGTGGACGTCGTCTGTGACTACCACACGGTGATTTCATCATCATATTTAATTTTTACCCCATTTATTGCTAAGCTTTTTTTTCGCATTGTTCAAGATGTGCAAAGAGAGTATATTGGTTCGGTGTAATGTGCGTGGGAAGCAGCGATGAACTAAATATTACAAATTTAGTTATGAGCTGAGTTTACAAAGTTGCGTAGTTGAATCACTATTGATCTATTCGCTGCAGTTGATATATAAATATAGCAGATGATATGAGGTTTATATGTAGATATTGTAGTTACATGGATATATGAATGGATAGATATATGATATACAAAGTTTACAGATGTACAAATTTATGTGTATATTAATTTAAATGAAATAGAAATAAGGATTCATATAAAATCGACATATAGATGCATTGATATAGTAGGTATATGGGTATAGATATGTGCATATATATATAGATATAATAGATGAGATGAGGTATATATGTAGGTAGAGTAGTTATATATATAAAGTTTATGGATGTACAGATTTATGTGCATATTATGTTATATAAAATAGATATAGAGATGCATAGATAATATCTATTAGATATAGTAGGTATATAGGTATAGAAAATATATAGATATGTGCTTGTATAGGTATATATTTAGGCATATATGTAGATCATCTACATATGTATGCATGTAGAGCATATATATATATGCATATAGTTTATCCCCTTCTTTAGTTCTTTTTTTTTTTTTATTATTATCCAAGTCTAAGTATTATGCAGTTGGTTGTGCTCGTTTGCAACATTCTCGCTTGTTTCATTGTTTTATTTGTGCAGTCATAATTAAGCACAATAGTCGTATTAGATGTACGCAGTACAAAATATATTTCTTTCTATTGCTTATACACAATGTATAGGCATTATATAATATAGTGAGCTGCAATATATTCACACAATTTGACACTATCAGCCTTGCTGTCAGCGATTATTGTAATACATGTTGAAAGTAGGAATCATTAAACATAAAGTGTGTTCAACTGAATCGAAAAAATATAGTATACATATGTACGCTATATGGTTTTCGATATTGTTTCAATGCTTTTACAGAGAAATTTTTGTGAGGTTTATGTCAGAATCAATAAATTCATTTTATAGATTTAAGGAATAATATTAGCAAAGGCTGGGAAATACTTAAGGCTATTTTTGCATGGGATTTTTGGTTAAGAAGATTTTATATATTATTTTTCAGGGCATTTTTGACACTTTGTATTTGTTATTGCATAAATATGATAGAATATCTTCAAAATATTGGTAGACGCTATGCTCATTTTGTTATGGATATAAAACCCCAGCTAGTTTAGAAAATTATGTCCACAACATATACAAATTTAACATATTATTTTCATTGTGAACGACATAATTGAAATTAAAATCATATATTATATATACAGTATTATATATGCATACATATATACATCCAAATATTTATATAGACATCTTATAGAATGCTCATTTAATCTTGGAGCTAACTCAGCTAATTAATTTTGCTCACACTCTTGTTTGCATTTGGGCGAATGAATGCCTTAATGGTGCTACCTCGACAGGCATCAGAATCAATTGATCTGATAATGTTTTGTTTTGTTTTCATTTCATATTTTCTTCTTCTCAGATGTTTTTCCATCATATTTTGTGCTGTGTTGACTTTTTGACTGCGTCTTGATTTAGCAATGACGACGAATGCAGTTCAATAATAATAAACACATGCATGGCATTGGCATTGGACATTTGGACATTGGCTACTGGGCGAACTTCCTGTTTTCACTCTTTATTGTGAATAGGGCAGACAATCCTCTAGAGAGAGAAAGAGAGAGAGGGAGAGATATGATCCAAGCACGGCTCTGATGCAGAGTAATTGTGTTTTTTATTTGATATTTTAGAAAGTAGCAAACGAAATTATTACTGATTCAGTTTTTTGGAATACAACTTGAGTGTGAGTTTGCTGAGATGGTGGCTTCAATATATTATTATATATAAATCTTGATTGTGTGAATGCAGATCAATGAAAGTTGTTTTTTTTTTTTCCAAGCAATTCAAGTTTGCAAACAAAATGAATTGATAGTAAATCATGTTTATAATGAATTTCAGTCTGAACAATCAAAGCAAACTTTAGGCAATTAAATTTAAAGTATATAGAGATAGTTTCTGTATTATTCACATTAGAAACGATTACTCCATATGAATAGAAATGTAAATCTGCGCTTTTAGCTAACTCAATGCTTCCATGTTGACGGTTTGGCACGTGTCGAATTTGATTTGAATTCTTTTCGTTTTCTTTATTATTATGACCATTTATCATTTCTAATTACGTGCTGGCAACTTGTTGCGAAAAGCTTTCGAGCTGAGATAAGTGGCTGGAGAGACGGTCGCGGCGTACCACC